ATTGTAGACTGGAGCAAGCTGAAACTGTTGACAACTTCAGTCTCTTCTCTATCTATCTTGGTGCTGCCAATTGGCCCAGTGGCGAGAATCTTTGTGTTCTTGATGTTGAACTTCAACTCATGTTGAAGACTCCAGTCCTTTATCTTCTTGAGCAGAAGATTCAGGTCCTCCTCAGTTTCAGCTTCAGCAACCAGGATTGTGTCATTTATAGGAAGCAGGTGGTTGTTGAATCTTCCTCCAATTCTGAAGTCACATTCCTCCTTGTAAAGTCCAGCTTCCCAAATGACATGTTCCACATATAGATTGAAAAGGTGTGGAGACAGGACACATCCATGATGCACTTCTTTCCTGATTTTGAAGCATGTGCTGTTTATTTGCTCTGGTTCTGATGAGTGCTTCCTGGTCCAGGTATTGGTTTTGCATGAACATAATCTGGTATTCTGGTATTCTCATTTCTTCAAGGTTAGCCATGATTTGTTCTAATCCACACAGTCAAATGCCTTTGCATAGTCAGTGAAACACAGATAGACATTATACTGGTACTCTCTGCTTTGAGCCAAGATCCATCTAACATTGGCTCTTATGTCCCTAGTGGTAATATACATATCTAGCCGTTTATGGCAGATTCAGCATTTTGTTTTCTCTCAATTTTTGCTACAATTTTAGCATTAGCTTTAAAATGACAAATCCCTATTGTGTTTGTCCTTTTGTATTAATGTATGTGTACAAGTTTATTGTTCTCCACCTCCTCCAATATTTTACATTTGTTGTAGTTGAGGATATACCTACCCTAGCACAGCCCAGTTGAGCAGTCTCTGCTTGTATAGTTCAGTGACAGACACTGACTGCTCTGTCCAAGATGGGCTGTCATTCTCACCTTCCTTCTTTGGCTCCTTCCTCCTCCATTAACTTAGACTCTCTGCCCCCTAAGGTTCTTATTTACTCTTTTGAGTTACTGTTGTCAATTTAATCCTATAGCGTTAGTTCTTTAAAGAGGGTAATGCTCAAGGGAGACCTTTTTTAATTAGTTAATATAACGTATTATTTGATGGTGACTTTCAGGGGATATTTTTAGTTTAAGATTTAAAGATTGTCTTAGGATAATTGTTTGGTGTTTATCTCAGGATAATACTTGAGTTTATCAAGGCTCCATAGCTCTAGAGTTCATGAGAGTTTGAAATTCTCAGCCCTTTTCATGAGGATTTTTTTCTTTTTTTATCCGTTTTTAAAATAAAATTTTATTTTAGTTTTGATTTTAATGAACATTTACAGAGAAGTTAGATTTTTTCTTTGCTGCTTAGTTAAGGCTAGATCTTTCTTTTTTCTAATATGATTCATTATTCTTTATGTATTTTTTCTTTAAAATATCTTGCCTTAAAGGGAATGTTTTCTTATTAAAATCTGTGGATAACCAGTTTTGGATAATACTCTATATGATTGTTTTATATATTTTAAAATATTAAACCTACATTATAACTTGTTGTTGTT